TAGGGAAAAAAAATTACTAATAAATATTTTTTTTGTTTCGTTATGATATAATTGAAGAAAAGGTTGTCTCGTTTCCTTGGCTAATTATATATACGTGCATATTGATTGTCTTTCACATACATGTATACACACGCGCACACACATATTGTATATATACACATATGTGCGTGTCTCGTCTATATATATATGAATCCAACGGTAGGATGCATATATATGATGTACTTGCAGATTCGATGGTCGAGATTTCTTGAAGAGATACAGAGGGAAGAAGATATTGCTGGTCGGAGATTCACTAAGCAACAACATGTGGGTGTCACTGAGTTGCATGCTGCATGCATCCGTCCCAAATTCTACGTATACCTTCCATTTCTCCAACCCTCTCTCCACCTTCACTATTCCGGTACACTATATATAAACCCTAACCCTCGCCTATTTTCTTATTTTTTCTGATATTAAATTCTGAATCTTTAATTAACCAAAAATAAATAAATTCTGAATCATTAACGCTGATCAATCTAGTTACTCCTTTCGAATTCATTGAAAAGCATTATATATATGTATGTATGTATGTTGCCAACTGTGTTATAAACAATATTGTAAGGATTCTATATATAGGAATGAAATCATCCTTCTCTTTTTAAGTTCTGGCATATGTTAATTTGTATATATATACATAAATCGACATTGAAACAGGAGTACGAGATTACAGTCAATTGGATAAAGAATGGGTTCCTTGTGGATTTGGTGTGGGACAAAAGAGGCAAAATTCTGAAACTGGATTCGATCAGTTCAGGGAGACAGTGGCTTGGAGCTGACGTCGTCATCTTCAACACCTTCCACTGGTGGACTCACACCGGCCGAGCCAAGTCGTACGTGAATCATCGTGTGTATATATGTATATATGCATTTGACGATGGTTATGAAAAATGTGTATGATGTAGATGGGACTATTTTCAAGTGGGGGAGACGATTGTGGAAGAGATGGACAGAATGGAAGCTTTCAAGATTGCACTGACGACATGGGGGAAATGGGTTGATAAGAACATCGATCCTTCCGAATGTAGGGTTTTCTTCCAAGGTGTTTCAGTATCACACTTTAAGTGAGTCCCTTTCTGTCTTTATCTCTACACACTATATATGCATATATATATATATATATATCGATAGGGAAGTGTTGGTTTAAAATGTTTTTGTGAGTGCAGTGCAACCGAATGGGGAGGGAAGAAGGGGAAGAGCTGCGTAGGGGAGACAGGGCCGGTTAAAGGACAGAAATACCCCGGACCGAGGGACAAAGGAGAGGCCATTGCGAGGAGTGTGATCAAAGGGATGGCTAAACCGGCTTACCTCCTGGACGTAACGTTGCTGACCCAACTCAGAAAGGACGGTCACCCTTCTTCCTACGCCGGCCGCCCGGGCAAAGACTGTAGCCACTGGTGCCTGCCCGGCGCCCCTGACGCCTGGAACGAGCTCCTCTATGCCGCTCTCACCACCTCTTTCTAACTATTCTTTCTTTAGGGTTTGGAATAAAATCGGTGTTATAAGAAATATATATATATATATATATATACCTCAATCTATTTTCAATCTCGCATAGTCCACACCGCAAGTTTTTTTTTTCCATGCATCCATTTAGGATCAATTTCGGAATCTCAATATCACAACCCAAATACCCTCTCTCGAAAATATGGTAATATAGAGGAAGAATGTATCGAAACAAATCTATCTATTGTCTAGATAGAAATATCAAATATCCATGGATTATGTCATGCTTGTTGATGGTGAAATAGGAACCTCTGATTCGGTCAGAGGGATAAGAAATCTCTAGAATGGCCAGAAGGTTTGGATTGTCCGGTTTGACACAAACCGGCGGATTGCATTTGGTTATCAGATTTTTTTGCAAATGTACCGAACTAGAACGACGACGTTTCGGGGAGCTTCGGCGTGTTATGAAGACGACGGCGTTTTGGGCCAAGTAAAGAGATTTTTGAAGGCAAAGTATCATTTGTCGAGGCGCGGGAAAAAACTAGGGTTTGAGAGAGGGGTGAGGCACCGATAGAGTCACCGATCTGTGACGTCCTCCGATGGTCTATGAATCTGGTCGATTACCACCTCGACCGAGATATAGGGTCACGGAACCTGAACTCGTTAAAACGACTGGATATCATTCTTGCACGTACGGACACAGAGATCTGAGAGCCTTTTACCTAACAAGGAGCTTAGCACAGTTTCAGTCACGTGTCTTTGACAGTTTCCAGAAGTTTCCGGAGGACAAAACCTAGTACTACATGTTTTAACGGATGACAACTTCACAGGAGCCAGAGCGTCTTGGAAGAGCACGGAGTTCCTCGAGGATTTCAGACTCTTCTTTGAATCTAGGACAACGACTCAAACACAGAGTAAGTTTCTTCAGACACTCTGCATTCTCTAGAAAGTACCTTACCAGTTTCATTTCTGTTGTCGTCTTTCCTGTGATCGGCATTCTTATATCGACGGACTCGAGGGTCGATACAAAACACCGAGGCCTTGACGAAAGCGGAATTCCCTCCGTCTCCGGGAACAGATCAAATCCCTGCAAGTATACCAAACCTCGTGGAGATACGGTATACCTTCTACACAGCAATGGAATCAGAATCATGGATTTACTCAAGGTATGTATATCCTCACCACGACGAGGGATTTCAGATTCGGGCAGGCCTCGAGGAAAGTCGGCATCGTTTCCCACCATAAGTGAGCGAACCTCGCATTCAAATGAGTTAAGTTAGAGAATTGTGGCAACTGCTCCGATTTCGAGTACTGATACAAGATCTGCCGCCAAGAAGCAAGGAAATGAAATGGTTAAGACTGATTTCACAGAATGGAATCCGGAAGTTCAAATGTGAACTCACCTCTATAGTTTCCCAAGAAATGATAAGACGACCGATACCCGAAATGCTCGTGAGAAAGTCACGGATGGTACTTTTTCGATAGGTCGTCGGGATCCAACTCTTCTCCGTAATCCACATTAAAGATGATATTAACATCGAGCTCGACATTTGAACCCAAACCCTTCACTGTAAAGATTTCGGACTGATGATCCCTGAGGGTCAGATACTCGATTTTAGGCGCATCCACCACAACTCCGCAATCTTTCCCGTCTTTATAACGGTCGAACTCTAATAAAGCAAAGCTCTTTAGCGTCGGAGAACGGACACGCAAAACTTTTACGTTATCATAAACAATCCGAGTCATGGATAAATCTTCAAGGACAGGACAGCTCGAGATGAGGGTCTCGAAAGCCGCATCATCGACGTACTTAACTCCGTCCAAACGCATTAGCTTGAGACAAGGTAAAGAGACGGCCTCTGAACTGGTCAAGACGACCTGACTCAGTTTCAAGCATACCAATGTCTGGCACATATTAAGGCTTGGAGGCATCTTGACAGCTTCATCGTCATCTATAAAGCTCTGAACGTCGAGACCCTGAAGTTTTCGTTTAACCGCTTTGTCGATCCATGACCTGAAACGTGAAGCATCGTGTTCGCTCGCATCGTACCTTAACCTGAAGCTATATAACGGCGAGTCACTGTCGGTATCGAGAAACTTATCGACGAATCGGGAAAATGTATCGTCATCCGGGAAATCGTGGGTGTCCAAATCCAAGTCAGGAACATGTAACCAGAGGGTCCTCCATCTGGTGGATAAAACGCTTGTCCTAACCACATCCTTTGTGGAGAGATTGGAGAGTATCTGACATAACAATGGATCTGGTAATTTGCTTATTCTGTCTTCTTCGATTCCGGCAACAGGCTTCTCCTCCGCATGCATTTGATCCAATTTGAGAATGGTTTATTATATCTGCGACTTCAGATTTTACATAATCAAACTGAAGATTCAGACACATAACTCATCATACGAACAACACGAATTCGTACACCTACGCAAAGTGAAAGATCGAATTTTTCGGGCAGAGCTAAAACATTTATGTGCGCATGGCCAGAAACTCGAACGAACTCTTGCAACGATGCAAAATTTTCATTTTTTTTTTGGGGAAGAAAAGTATCAGAAACCGCGTTGAAATTGCAACAAACCGACATTCAGAACCTAAATCCAAAAAACCAGAAAATCAAACGTATACGTAAAGTACGAGAGATCTATACATACACAATCCCTAGAGGAGTACGAAGACTGCTTCAACAAAAACAAAAACCTAAAAAAAAGGGAACGAGAACACTAAGCTGCACAGAGGCAAACGAAGAATCACTCACCATATGGATTTCTGACGATGGTCAAACGAAGAAGAAAGGAGAAGAACTTCTAAGATCCAACAGAGAGAAAGAGGAAGAAGACATCACCGCCATTGCCAAGAAGCTTGCATCTGAGTTATCAAAAAAAAAAGGGAAGCTTGCATCTCTCTCTTGTTCTTCTATCAGACATGAATTTATCGCTGTTAAATATTGCCATAGGACGAGACATTGGGCAGGTGCCACGTGGTGAAATTTTAAATGGTGGAAAATAATCGGATATGTGTGAGCGCATGAAAGATCAGTGGACTTGTGGAGCCCACCTTTCATCGGCAAGCATCATAGGCAGTCACCGCGCTGTCTCTGTAACCTTTACACTTTCCTGGTGCGCTTTTTCAAAATCCGGTTCACCCCCTCCGAGAGTCTGAGTTACACCGCCTCTCTCTCTCTCTCTCTCTCTCTCTCTCTCTCTCTCTGCGGCGGCGGAGATGGCAGGATACAGAGTGGAGGACGACTACGATTACCTATTCAAGGTTGTTTTGATTGGGGATTCTGGTGTCGGTAAATCGAATCTGCTCTCTCGGTTCACTAAGAACGAGTTCAACCTCGAGTCGAAGTCCACCATTGGAGTCGAGTTCGCAACTCGCACTTTGAATGTCGACGGAAAGGTCATCAAATCTCAAATTTGGGACACTGCCGGCCAAGAGAGGTTCGTTTCTCTGTCTTCTCCGTGTCTCCGATTTTGTTCATGTGAACCGTTTCTCATGTTAGATCTTGTTTGGCGATTACGTTGATTTTTGAGTTCGATGCGTATTTCGTTTTCCCTTTTATGAAATTACTTGAGATTCGTAAGAAATTAGAAGCCATTGTCGCGAAGATTGCTTTGTTAAGTTTCACAGTTTGAATTTTTCATCTGAAAGTTGGTTTAGCTAGCTTCTGGTAGTAGATCTATCATTTTCTTATCCGGATCATGTGAAACTAGCTTTTGATTTGTGATTTGACCTCATAGTGGGTTCAGTATCGCTTTGCTGAAAACTCATTGAAAGAGTTGGCATGATCTATGCATATGCGGTGTAGATTCGTTTCCTCTACAATCAGGAATAGTTCTCCTCCTCCTCCTCCTCCTCCGTCAAGAGAAGGTATGCAGCATTTTTTTAGATCATCTCTTTGTTAACTTGAACAAAAACAATTCTTCATTCTCTATCTCCATGTCTCTAAAATAGGTTCTGAGTTTGTCTGGTTGAGACATTGAACTGAGGATTAAATAAACGGGATCGATTGCATAGATTTTAAAAACACCATCCCTTCTTCTCTAACCTGTTGGCTGAGGCTGTCACAGTGTCGAATTCTGTATCTAATCCAAATTTCAATAGTCTCGCACATATGTGGTATTGAACGTCTGAATAAGAGCTCCTGATTCTTCAGGTTGATTGTTTGCCAGAAGTATGATTCCCCTCGCAAGCGCAATGATCGTGAAGAACTGGAGCAAATCATTTGCTCTATAGACAATTGCCTTCATTAGATTGGGTGTTCTGCTGCATTTTTCTGACCCGATTGTATGACGTACGTCACGCCAATACACTGGCTAAAGTGTTGAATATTGGGTCAATGCTGTATTGAGTTGAGTGTGGTGCAGTCTTGGATTGAGATTAGGGTTCGTGAGATTAGAAATTTGTAGTATGATAGTGAAATCCAGAAATTTTGGCACGCTTAAGCCAATGATCTTTTGGTGTCTATGATGAGTGAGATTCCATGTGAATAAGGCTTTCACTGTTATGTGGCCATGATCTAAAAAACTTTGCTCTTTGCAGGTACCGGGCGATTACAAGTGCATATTACCGTGGAGCGGTTGGCGCCCTTCTTGTATATGATGTAACCCGACGTGCAACATTCGAGAATGTAGACCGATGGCTAAAAGAACTGAAAAACCATACAGACCCGAGCATCGTGGTGATGCTTGTGGGTAATAAATCCGATCTCCGCCACCTTCTGGCAGTCCCGACGGAAGACGGGAAATCATACGCCGAGAAAGAATCGCTCTGCTTCATGGAAACTTCCGCCCTCGATGCCACGAATGTCGGGAACGCGTTTGCGGAGGTTTTGACGCAGATTTACCGCATCACGAGTAAGAAACAAGTGGAGGCCGGTGAAGATGGGAACGCTTCTGTTCCGAAAGGGGAGAAGATAGATGTAAAGAACGACGTTTCTGCGCTGAAGAAACTCGGGTGCTGCTCAAATTGATGGTTCTAGTGAAGATTGGGAGAGTATAACCCTTTTGGTTTATGTTATCGTCGTTCTTTGTAATATTATCGTCATTCTCGCGAGGCGTTTTTTAATTCATATTTGTACTAAAAAAAGTGAATGACGATATTCTTCTGAAATTACTTCGAGTGCCTCGGGTGCTTATTTGGCTAATAAGTGAACTGATAATGTATAATCAAAACCGAACCGAATTAGATATAGAACCGAATGGTTATGATTTCTTTTAAACCGAAAAAACTGAACTCGAATCTGAATTGAACCGAATAAAAAAATAACAAAAAAATATCGTAAATTTCCTTAAGAAAATGAATATTTTTATCATAACCGAACCGAATTCGAATCGAATTCAATGTAAATTGAATAGTTATAATTTTTTTAAAACCGAAATAATCGAACGCGAACCGAAACCGATTAAGTCACCTCTATGAGTGTCCTTTCTTCCATTCCATGCCTAGAGTTTTCATTTTTTTTAAATCAGTAAATCAATCTATGATTATATCATTATCAAGGTTTTGTCTCGTGACAAAATTACAATGGAATCAAACCGAATTGATTTTTTTCAAACAAATTTTCCTCTTATTGAAATGCGGGAATTGAACAGATCTGAATTGAGTAACAAAAAAACGTACCGAAACTAAAAATTAAAAAATGGCTAATAAGTTTCCAAACCCAACAACCGAATATCGTATTGCTAACCTTATAATGCAGTATGTAACAACGGGACACCGGACTGCCCTTTCCTGAATCCAACCCAAACAAATTGACCTGAACTGAAACTTAATTAGGCGAAATCGGAGTAAAATTTCTTTTAACCCGACCGCAATTAAGGGTGGTCATTTCGGGATTAGGGATGATCATTTCGTGATTAGATTCAGTTATTTCAGATTAAATTTATTCGGTTATAAAAAAATATAACTGGTTATATAAATTTAATTGGTTCGATTTCGATTTCATTTTGATTCGGTTTTAGGACAATAAAACTATAACCAAACGGTTTAATTTGGCTCGGTTTAGTTTGGTTTGGTTCAATTAAACCGATTCGGTTTGGTTACAAAAGAACATTAACAAACACGAAAAAAATATATAAAATCTTCCAAAATTCAAACTTTATCATAAACTTCAACCACAATAAAAAAAATTAAAAAATAAAAAAAAAATCTTTAAAAAAAACTTCTTCAAACGGTTTAAAATAAATAAATATTAATCTTTCAAAATAATCAATCCAAATTTTAAATCACAAAATACTAATATTTCATAATCTTAATAAAAACTCTAAAAAATTTTAAAAAATTTATATACAATAAATATCGAATGATTCAACAAATGTATAATAGATCTAAAACAAAATTTTAATCAAATACAAGAAATTACATTGTTAATCTTTTTTTTTTGTTTATTTGATAATTCTCTATAAAATTCTATACAACAACAAAAAATAAATATAAAATAAAAATTTAATAAAAATATAGTAATCAATATAACTATATTAAAGATATACTTTTTACCAATGTATATATAAAGAAAGAGTTGAAAATTGAAAGAGTAAAAAAACAGTTAGATATCTAGTGTGAAAATTTTAAAATTATATCAACCATTAAATTAATTTCAATTATTTAGTTATTAATCGAATCAAACACAATTCAAGTATTTATTAAACTTTTTCAACCTATCGATTATCAAACAAATAATTGAATCGAATCGAACTGTTGTTATTCAGTTTGATTCGGTTAAATTATTCGGTTAATAATTGAAATAATCCGATATAATTTAGTTATGGATCCCATTATTTTATTTTTTAGGGACAAACTCAAAAACAACTCCAAGTTTTCAATTTACGCCAAAAAAAAACCTTCTACTTAAAATTCATCATAAAAAACCATCAACTATTAATTTTGAACAAAAAATACCATTAATTATATAAATTTTTTAAAAAATCTTCCACTTTATAAAAAATCATCAATTATTAATTTTTATAAAAAAATTAATTATCTATCTACAAAAATATTTTGTTTTAAATTTATTATAAAAATTTATAAAATTAAAAAATATATATAAATTATATAATTCTAAAACATCTCTATAAAAACATAATATTTACATAAATTTATTATATTATAATATTTAAAATTTATATAAATATTTATAAATCATCAATATTTATACAATAAATTTGTATACAAATGTTACATTTAAAATTCAGTATATTTTATTGTTTGTAAAATTTAAATTTAAAATTTTATTATATGTTAATATTTGATAGGTTGTAAATTGAATACATTTTATTGGTTATAGGTTTCTAGATTTAAAATAGAATGTGTTTTGAGAATTTCAAATAGTTGATGATTTTTTATTAAAATTATTATATAAATCTATGAAAAAAATTAAATTGATAATTTGCAATCTTTAAAATAACAATATATAATAGAATTTTAAATGTAATATTTACAGCCAATGAAATATACTTAAATTATAATCTATTAATGTTAATATGCACTTTTTATATTTTAACAAATAAATATTTTTATTAAAATTAATAATTGATGATTTTTTATAATAAATTTAAAGTGAAAAATTGTTTTTAAAAAAATTATATCGTTAATGGTCTTTTTTTACTCAAAATTAATAGTTGATGGTTTTTTATGATGAATTCTAAATAAAAAATTTTTTGGTGTAAATAGAAAATTTGAAGGTTTTTTTTTGGGTTTGCCCCTAATTTTTAATATATTTTATGATGTTACCTAACAAATCGAATAAAAAAAATCTAGATCTCTTATATTTTAAAAAAAATCTCTTTTACCAAATAAAAATTATTATCAATTCAATCATATTCAAATAAAAAATTAAAAACAAAAAATTTAATATATGTAAAAATTATGATTTTTATTCATTTTTGATGTATTTATCATACTTATAAATTTATCTATATATATTATATATTTGTTTAATCTTTTATTTGATTTTGATAGAGAAAACAATAACTAATTAATTTTTCTAAAAGAATTTTTCAAAAATATCTCAATATAATGGTAAAATTTCAGGCGACAATTAATACAACAAATTCTTAATTTTAAAGTGATTGTTTAGTTTATTTTATCAAAAAAAAAAGATTTCATACGATTATAAACGATTTAATGAATATATTTTAAAAAATTAAAAAAAAATATAGAATTCAAAGTTCGATATAAATATTTTTTAGAGATAGATTTTTATTAACTTTTTGTATTTTATATATATATTACTATTGTCCCATTGCCATAGTAAAAAAAAAATTATGTGTCTGTCATTGTATGTGATGATGTTTCACATATACATTTTTCTAAATATTTTATTATAAACTATTTTAGTGCATTTTATACAATAAATAGTTTTTCTTATAATTTAAGTTTATATAACATCGTCTTTATGATGTCTCAAATCACATTTAGCATTATTGTCTATAGAAAAATTCTGGATATATAAATTAAAAGATTTTATAAGGTAATTTGATGAAGTGTGAACAGTTACATTAAGATGAGTGATTATCAAAATGGTTTGATAGAGGAGGAGGCAGGCGTGCTTTATCGGGTGTTTGATTACTTTGTAAGAAAACTCTCTGTATATCGACAAAAGACAGACCTTATAGAAAAAATGATATATTTTTGTTATATAAGAAAATTTTGAAAGTGGATAACAATGTATAAATATTGAAGAAAAATTATTTCAAGTGAATAGAATATATTTTATGTTGACACTTAACCGAAATTTAGTGATATTGTATGACTCTTTTCGTCTTATTATTTGTGGGTAAAACCTTTTATACTCATATATATGATTTTTTGAGCAAAACCTATAATTTCCAATAACCTGAATATATATGCCCATACTACACGGGATATTATTTTTTGCAATTAGAAAATACCATTTTCAATTGTGAGTTTACTTAAACTTCAAACAATTTTATGGAAAAATCTCATGGAGAATACTCGACTTTATCAAAACTTTCAGATTAGATAGTAAAATTTTCAATTCATATATGATGTAACAAATTTATAAATAAAAACTTAACTTTTAACAAATTTCCATATAAAAACTCAATTGCTAAATTTTTGTCAAATTCAATTTGATTTCTAAATGATGTTAATAGTGTATAATGTGACACGTGATGAGTTTGTCACATCGTAATTTTTATTATTGTCATATTTAAAAAATAGAAAAAGAAAATATATTAAAATAATACAATATAAAATAAGAAAATAAAAATCATGAGCGCACACACATATATATAACGATTAAACTAACATTCCTTTTTTAGTTACACAAATATTAGTTATTAATATCCATTAACTATTTAATTATTAGTTTTAATAATTTAAAAGTATGCTAAATTAATTTAAGAGAAAATTTGAAAAAAATAATTAACTTTAAGATAACTGACATATTAATATCGAATTTTTCGAATTTTCAAAATAAATATGAATTTATAAATTTAAAGATAAAAAAATACTGAATTTTTAAATTTTTGACAAAAACCTCTTAAATGACATTAAGCTATTGGTGGATCATGTCACGTTAATTTTTTACCAATTCATTTGTCATGTCATATAAAAAAATAATAAAAATAAAAAATAATTATAATTGAATAAAAATAAAAATTAATCATAAATATGTTAAAATAAGAATAAAAATAATAAAACATAAAAAATATAATATATATATATATATATATATGTAATACGTACATGTATAACCCTTAGTAAATTAACGGCTAGATAATAAATGTATGTTACATATAATTAACTCAAACCATTTGCATAGGATTCCAAACTATACTATAATTATATATTTATTTAGCTTTTAGTTTTCTCAAGAGTTTCATAATATATATATATATATATATATATATATGTGTGTGTGTGTGTGTGTGTGTACGTGTATACTTTTAACCCTGTTCTATCAACTTTAAACTAATGTACAGTAACTTTTTTTTATGCTCCTTTAATACATGGGAGAGGAAAAGAAAAGGGGGTTATGTTTCATACTTAAGAGACATTCAACGAGGGGTTATGTTCAAATTAACGCCATTTCTTTCAAGATGCTGGAAGATAAACGATTGAAACCATATGCTAATATATACATACATACATATATATATATGAACCGATCGAAATATCATATCTGGACCGATATTCATCTGTAAAATGATATACATACACATATGAAGAAACTAATAAAGCACATTGACAAATTTATTGGAAGAAAGAGAAGTACTGACTCTATTCGATGTAAGGATGATATATGGATGCCCAAATCAGTAGCAGATCCTGCAAAGTTTCACGCGCATCTATCTATCGGTCTTCACTCATCGAACAGTACATGATTTTATACTTTCGCCTGTATATATATATCATTTATACGGAACCTGTAGATTCAACATATATATACCCTGCAATGAAATTGAATAATGTCAATGTTAATCTCTCTATATTGTGTGTAAGATACATTTCTCACCAAAGACAAAGTATATTGTTTCACATGATGAGATTGTGTTTCGTCGGTGATATCTCAAATTCACTTTATATATATTAATTAGTGTCATTGGTTATGCATGTGTAATTGATCCATATGTTTATGTATATATATATATATATATATATGTATATATGAACCATAAGTAATGTCAAATTTGATATGGACGATGCAGTAACCATGATTAACTAATAGAATGTGATTGCTGAAAACAATTAGGCATCAGTTGTCAACATGATTCTTAGCTTATAAACAGTATAGGCATGTATCATTGGACAATTCAGATGATTCCTTTAACACATTGTTGCTATCACAACGAGCTAATTAACACATAATTATAAGTATTGATATACGGCTAAATGATATATATATATATATATATATATATATATATATATATATATGTGTGTGAATATACGAGTATTGTAGAACATTATTATAGGAATTAATACATTTCGCAGCTTTTAAGTGAGTCATGCATTACACTGTATGTATACATCCCTTTTCTCTCGATATTATTTGGCAGACTTAAGGAATTACACACCGGCATGAAAACAACAAGAAACCCCATTTGCAGGAAATTAAATATACCATGTTTGGTTAGCTTAATTTATTAGTCAGATTCATTAAAGGAAAATAAATATATGGTATATATATATATATATATGCATGTATAAATACAAAGGGGAGTGTGAATTGTGTTTTGAATGAGTGATACTAGGCCCAGGCTAGGGTTTTTCTGGGGTATTGTATACGTATCCCTCCTAGGGTTTACGAAACATGAGACAATGTTTCACTCAAAACCCATTGGTGTGATTAATGAAATGTTATAATTAATCTATCTATCTGTATATATATATATACGCCCTTACTATATATAGATATATGATCTAATAGGTCTTAGCCTAATCACGATGTAATCTTTGAGTTTTTGAGTATAAATTAAACAACAGGACACACATTACATATATAGTATTATACGTCAAAGAGCATTCTATAAGATAATGTAAGAAAACTACGGAGCCTAGGTACGTAAATGGATAATTAAGTAAACATAATTATATGGGCCATTAAATTAAACAAAAATTAAAAAGATAATTACCATAAATCCCCCTTTTTTTGTCCCCTTCCTTGCTAAGCAGTAGGCAAGTTCGAAGTGGTACTACTACTAGTTCCAGTTCCGGCGTGAGTAGCAGTAACAGTGGCAGTGCCCTTCGCTGGGTTCCTCCTCTTCTTCTTCTTCTTGTACGGAACACCTCTTGCCTTGGCCTGAGAATCCCTAACCTCCCTCAGGTAAACCCTAATCCCACCGCCGGCGAAAGGGTTTCTCTCCGGCAAACCGCCGTTCTCTTCGTAAGCAGCTCTCAGCCGTCCGATCAAAGCATCTAAGCTTCCCCAAGCTTGTCTCAAGGGACAGTTACACTGTCCTGAAGGGTCGGGCTGTCCGAAGAAGACGCATCCCTGAAGATGGACTTTGGTCTTGCCGAACTGGTCGAGGTAGCGAAGGAAATCGAGTATGTTGTTCGTGTTGCACTGCGAGATGTGCACAGGCGGTCTCTGGTTCCTCAGGTACTGGCAAAACGTGTTCCAGTCTCGCCTTTTCTGCGACTCGTAGCGGCTCAGTGGCTGTGGCGATGACCCTTCAGCCACTTCTTTCCCTCTGGTGTTTCTTGTGCTCGTAGCCATATTGATTTTTGGATGATGATGATGATGGATGATGATGGATGGTGATGGATGTTGATGATTGTTACATGGCTTGATGAGGAGGAGGAGGAAGACGAAGAAGAAGAAGAGAAAGAGGAAGAGGGGAATATAGATGAAAGGTATTAATGATAATGGGAAAGATTTAGAAAAATTTCCTCACTAATGATGAATAATATATTCTAACGTCAATTATTTTATGGGAAAAATATGGCATCAAATCTACGAGGGCACATATTAAAGCTGTATATATATATATACATATATGTTGAAAACTACAATTTCCTAACAAATGAGGAATTTTCAGCTCCATTTGTTTTTTTTTTCTTTTTCTGGTCATCTCAATTTCAAATATGTTATTCCATGGAATTTCTTAATCTTCTATCATTAACTTTAGTTCTCTAAATTAATCATGTTTTTCTTCCATGGCTTACTTATCAATTAGTTATCATTTAAAAACAAGTTATATAGTAATTGATACAATTTATTTCAAATCAAACAGATTTAATTCAGTCTCCACCTTTGTCTATGTCATGTTTTCTTTTTTATACATATCACCTTTTTTTGCCACATACATAACATTATTTTTGTGTGTTTTTTTTTTGTAAAACTATTATTTTTATGTTATACTATATCACAGTAAAAATAAATAAATATGCATACGTATATATATGCGCTTGTGTATTTGTGTTTATAATGAGAATTTTTCCGTACTTTTCAAATTAAAGTTAGATATACAATGTATATAAATTAATTAATTGATAAAAATCTGCAACTAATGAAGCAACATTTTGGGATATCAAATTAATTAGAATATTAATAATGAATTTGTACATGACTAATGAGGGAGACAGGAAATGGGCCCTCTGAAAATGCTTTAGCCCTTGCTTTTTTCTCGGCCAACCACATTATTTTCTTCCCTTTAATTCGTACGATTAGCATTTAAATATTGTTTTTATTTACTTTATTTTAATTTTCCCCCATCTAATTATAATTGCGTTTCCATCAGCTTCGCAATCATTGTCAATTTCAGTATTTTTAATCATTATTATTTCTATTTATTCATGGATATATTTGTTCTAAGAACTTTTTTTTTCAGAAATTAAAAAAAAAAAAGATATTGACTGGAGAATACGATATAATTGTATTAAGATGTAAATTTTATTATTATATTTTATAATTTATAGAAAACTAACATGGTAAATTAAATTTACATGAGTGTTGCAAAGATGGAATATCCCACAAAAATATAAGAATTTCACAAATATACAAAATAATATATAAATTATTAGTACATAAATTTAATTTTCTAAACTATTCTATGAACCCTTGTAGCGCCATTTATTACATACGACGTGACTATTATGATATTTTTCACATCGGATCCAATTAACGATGGTGTAACGCCGTAAGAGTCTATATAATAATGTAGAAGAAATTGATAAATACATGCATTAATCTGTGAAATTAATAATCCATCTATTTATTTGAAAATTTTAATAGTATTTATGTGTTTTTTTTTTGGATTTTCCCATTTGTAATTGTTTTCTAGAAACAAAAATAGAAAATGGCAATCGAGATCTGATGAAGAACAAGAAAAGCCCAATGGGCCTCAGCATCCAAAAATCCAAGAGTTCTCCACGTGCGCCTTCAAGGTTTGCAAGAATTTATAAGATTGAGGAAACCAAAATTTAATTATCCGTTTTAAAGTAATCTCCAATTTTAATTCACACTAACCAATCATATAAAATAAAATTCGAATTATTCATAAAAACCGTCTGTATTTAAACCATTGACCTACAGACCTCATAATGGCATTTGTAACTTACCATCGGTTTTTAATTTTATATAAAAATTCCGGATTTAGGGTTTCGTCACTAATCGACAGTAATTTAAGATAATCATCAATTTTAATTCTCTCTAACCAATCACATAAAATAGTCTTCAAATTTCGGATATGCATTATAGAACCGCGAGTAGATAAAGAAATAATACTTGATAACTTATAATCGGTTTTTTAAAATTGATATAAAAATGCCGAATTTAGGGTTTTGTAAAATGGTTAAATATTTTTCACGTAACTAAAAGTTGAAAAATTAGATGCAAGTGATGTACGTTTCCATCGCTTAAAGTGAACTGATTAAATAGCTTTGAAACAGAACATGGAATCTTTAGTGGGAGAAAGACGATCGCTGAGCAGAAGGAGACATACGTAATCTAACATGTCCCGATCCTAAAGATCTGGTTGGACCTATGATTCAAAATATTGATTTAATAATCTTTCTTATTATTGAATATGAACTAACATCATGGTTAGCACCATTTCAGCTGCAAGTGGCTAACTATTTTTTTGGATATTATATTGTGATGCTATAGTCATGTAATTGGTAATTTAAGCATTTACTATCTCATTTGTCACGGATTAGATTCGCGATAGGAATCTTTCTGTATGGCAGACTAGTCTCGGTGCAGAAAAGGGAAGTTTCGGATAAATTGGGTTGCATTTGGAAACTCCGAGAGACTAGACTAAGCCTTCGATTCCTTAGGGAATGAATGATGAGAGTGAGATGGGGGAAGCCTACGGCGGCGAGTTTATTGATAAGGCAAAAGATGCAACGGCCGACGACGATTCGGTATAAGGAGGACGACATGACGACGGTTTGAAAGCCGATGGGTGTGACGACGTAAAATCGAAGTTCGAAACTTAGAAAAAAAAAATGAGGGAAAATCGATATTGCCTCTCAACACAGATGACTTAATAATCACTTGATGGAGAGTTCACAGAATTCGACCCCTAATGAACTCAACACGTCTCTACTTTTCGGGAATAAAAACGGGAAAAGTGGTCGGTTCATTTTGTACCAATTAAATCAATGTAGTAAAAAAAATATATATATATATATAAATTAAATGGATTGTAATGGATTGAAAATTTTTAAATAGGGAATGATTGTTTTTACAGTGGTAACTATTTTTATTGGCAAAGTATTTTTTTTTCCTAATAAAAGCCATCATCAGCCTTGGTGGACCTACACTCATAGGTTTTGATTCCTCAGTCGTAAGATGCTAACGAGTGCAGAGAAATACAATTTTGCTGTTATATATATATATATATAGAGTAAAACTTGTAACCAAACCCACACCAAGGTGATGCCATTTAGTGGATCTAGATAATTAAACTTAGCACAAGAATTTTATTTTTCGTACCGAGCAATACATATTGGACATGATTAGGATGTTCGTTGTTTATTCTTCTATATATATACACACATGTATGTAGAGAGACTATATAGTTATTTTTTTATTGCAAAGTATGAAACGGACCAGCCAATCAATAGGGTGGAATCAAAACCTTTCTTAAATAGGAGGTAATTCAAAGGCAAAATCAATGCCAAAGTTTCCTCGACAGAAATTCAAGTATGTTTTGATCTGATTATATCTTTCAAAATATTAAAAAATTTTAGATAAATATTACTCTGTCCTTTTCAAAAATATTTGTAGTTTTAAGTTATTTTTTATATTTCAAAATATTTGTAGTTTTACATTTTTACGATATTTTTTTTATAATAGTTTTTAATTTTATCTATTCCAAATTCCAATACATTACTAATGATTGCATTATTTTTATCATCGTGATTTTTAATCCATTTTTTTGAAAAACGTGAAACAATCTAAAACAATAAATATTTTAAAATGGAGTGAGTAATTTTCTAATAGAGATTCGATATCCCATCATTTATCAATTAAACCATCAGATTTTGGTTTCTTTTTTGAGATTTTGCCTCATAGGCTCATAGCTGAATGTCGTTCTTTGATGTTTTGGTACACAACGACCGCAATCTATAATAATATTGGTGAGAAATCGAGAATATACGAGTATTGTAGAACATTATTATAGTATTATCGTATGCTTGCATTTTATCACATAAAAAATATACGATAATGCAATGTTGTACTAATATTTTTTCCTCCTATATATAAGTATAATCACAAACATCAATGTCAAATCTGATAAGCTAATAAAGTTTCATTGACGAAATTTAAAGAAAAACTCGCTGGACGGAGATGATCGTAGATGGGTATCAGCAGCTTTGACTAATCAATTGCATCCACGATGTCATTATTGCTCAGATGTTTTTTTTATTTATTTAATAAATGTCACGATTATCTGTAAGATGCTGTTGATTAGACAGTTGGATCTTTCATTAATTAAAAAAACTATATTATATAATTAATATTTCAAAGCGATAATATAAATATATAGTTTCTCTCGTTGCCGACAACCCAAGTAATGTTTGCGTGCACGTGGGCTCCTTCCAAGTGTAGACGAAAGAATATTAATATAATGGACTATTTGTTCATAAAATTTAATAGATGCCTCGCTGTTATATACATATATATATATAACAGCTTTTTGATAAAACCATGGGCACAAATCCAAACATGTGAATTATTATAGTCGACTTTGAATTTATTCGGATGATAATTTTGAATTCATACATTATCAAATATTACAAAAACCCAAACAATATAGAAACAAGTATAATTAAAGAGATTAATAGCAAAGACAAGGCTTCCCTTTTTGTTCACCATCTTCAGCCTTACTTCTTAGCATTAGGAGCCTTAATGTAAGCAACCTGAGAAGCATCTCCTGTCTTAGTCAGTGTCTTGAGCTCGTAACCTAACCAACACTTGGAACTCTTCCGGTTGTAAAAGAAACCCAAACACTTGCAATCCCTCGTGCACTTTTCTCCGCACGCACTCTCGGTCGTGGCCGAGCCTCCGTTGTATTTGGTCATGAAATGGTCAACGCCTTCGAGCTTGAAGTAGTGGAAGGTCTTCGGGTCGCAGCTCGCGAGTTTCGGCGGCCGGCAAGTCTCGTCCCAACCGAGAAGTCCCTTGTCGGTCGGACATGCATTGCACTGGCTCCTCTTACACAGCCCGAACTCACCGCACCACGTGGCGAGTCGACAATCGTCGTTTCCATCTTCGTCCTCTCTCGTGAAGGCCCTGTACGTTACGTCCCATGCCGTCGCCGTCGCGGCCGTGCTGTAAGTGTAGACTCTGACGTTACCGTCTGATTCGAGACGGATAAAGCTCAAAGTCGCGTTGTGTTTTGGCCGAGCGAGGAAGGCCGAGACGTTGAACTGTGAGCCTTGGACCTCGCCCACGAACGACATACCGTACGTCGTGTCGGAATCTTCCACGACGTCGAACGTCATGGACTCGAACCGGGTTTTGATCTTGGTGAAGAAATCGTACTCGTAGTAGGCGATCGGTTTCTGGGTTTTGTTCGTCGTGTCATCGACGTTCACCGACTCAGACAACCTGCTCACGAGCCTGTTCCGACCATTGACCTTAAGTGACTGTCCGACGAGAAGGGTATCGGTCGGGGAATCGAAGCTTTGCCAAACGAAAACCCCTTTGGAATCATACAGCACCATGTTACCATTCTCCAACACTTTGATACCAACAACTCCTTTGTTGGCCGTGTTGGTCTGCCAGACCACACGACCATCAGCATCGGCCAGGACGAGATTCCCGTCCTCTCCGAAGGTCAAGGTGGCGTTTTCGCGAACCGGGTTTCCACGATTTGCCTCCCAGACCCACCGGAGGGTGGACTCTTGGGCTCGGTTGCCGATTCGGAGAGCGAGAGTGTAAGCATTAGGGGTAGTGTTATAGAAAGATAGGCGGAAGTTGTCGTTGAAGGGGACGAACCCGCGGACCGTGGGATCGTACTCGATGGGGCTGTAATCGAGAAAGCCGCCCTGGTTAACGACTCGGAACTGATCGGAAAGAGGGACTTTGGCTTGTGAGCCAAGGAAGAGGATGGAGAGAGTGATGCATAGAGCCAAGGGCAATGAGCAAGCGGTTGCCATTTCTGTGTGGTGGTTTTTGGACATGGCATATGGCTTCTATATATAGAAACTCGTTTTTAAAAAAAAAATTAAAATCGAATTTATCATCAAGTTACTCTCGTTGAAATATTTAGATTTGTTAGATTATATCTAATTAATTAAGAGAAATATTTTTGAGGTTAAATGTTAGATGTGGTCGGATGTTGTCCCTTGAAATTGAAAGGCTAATTTAAGACACGGATAGTTTAGACCGGTCAAAGTTTGCAGATATAATCATCTACGGCGTTCATGATCCAAAGAGAGGGGAGAGCTAGCTGTGATGACAATCATTCACGGCTCCTTGCATGATTTTAAATTGGTATAATAATTACGTTATATTAAAATAAATATAGGTAATGAATTGCGTAAGGCTCTGGAGTGGGTCCACGTTTCATCTATACGTTATTGTGATGATATTTATTTATTCACGAGCCATCAAGAAGATGCTCGATCCCTTCGTCTCGCCCCGTTTTCTTCTTTGATTCGATGTGACACTTCTTAGAGATTCCATATTCATGGTGTCGCATTTATTTTTTCGATCCAATTTAATTTTAAATTAAATAGATATAATATTAACTAAATTAAAATTAAGTGAAATCAAGATAAATCTACATCATAAAAATTAAAATAAATGTTATTAGAAAAATAAATATGTTTATTAATAAAAACAATAACGAATCAATAAGAAAATGGATTCAAAAATCAAATGAATATACTTCTTTTAAAACCTGACGTAAAAATCCAAAAAAAATAATATGTATATTGGGTAAAACATCTATTTTTTAGATGAATATTTTCATCAAAAAATAAAATAAAATAAAATTGTAAATCACGATAATACTACCATAAATTTCATATATATATATATATATATATATATATATTAATTTTTCCCTTAATGTGTATCGCGGGGGCTTCTAGAACAGGTCGAGTGTGGCGGCTCGTCTGCTCAAACACCCCTTTAAAGGCTGCTTGCTTCTTATAAAGTGTCTTTCGTTATCTTTTGGTCAATAATGGGTCTTTCAAAGAATTAACAAATGACAAAAGACAACCAAAGTAATAACTAGATGGTATTGGTAAGGCTGTGGGTTTCGGTTTTTGATTCATTTTTGGATTGGAAATGGTTTGCTTTGATTCTTTCGGTTTTATAAAATTAGGTATCAACCGATTTTTATATTATATTCGATTCGATTCGATTCGGTTTTAGTTTTTATTAAAAAAATTATATCTTCTTAAAAATATTTTTGTTTTTTTGGATTTTTTAAAATTCGATTCATTTTGGTTCGATTTCGAAAAAATCGGTTTACTAAAATTAATACATTCGTGAATTTCGCACGGTTCATATCGAAACAAATACCGTATTTTTCGGTTCACTACGATTCGATTTCTCGGAACCGAACCGAAACGTCCAGATGGGTTCGGATTATTTATCCGATATTTCTGATTATCCAAATCTAAAGCCAAATATGTTGGATTAAATGTTTCATAGTCTCACCTTATATTGGAGAGGTCCTAATGTCTAATAAAAATGTTTATATATCCGTGAATATTTGAATTCGGATGTTTATTCTTCGATAAAAATCTTTATCTTGAATATGTAAAAATAATTTTAATCGTCTTTAATTATCTATATAATTCTATCTTCTAAATTTTATGCCTAAATTCTGTGGCTGTCTTGTATATATCTTAGTATTGAGATTGTTAAAGATATTATAAACTTGAATGGTAAATCAATGTAGAAATCATAAATTTTACAACGATATTTACAACATATTTTGTTTCTTTGCTAGTTTTACAGCGAAATACATGTATTTCATTTAATTTGGTAGAACAAATAATTTTTGTTAGAAGTTTAGAGGGTTATCTAGTTAAATATAATATATGGGATTTGATAAAATACAATTTATCTAGTTTTCTAAATTAGATTGATTTTTTTTTATAATCAGGACGATTACCGACCTTCGACTCATTTAATTCTTTGAGTTCAGAATTAATCTTTAATCACGTAATCAATTGCGTTTCTTTTATCCATTAGTGAAATCGAATACAGAATGTCTGAAGTGACATTGGCACACTTTATCATCTTTCAACTATTGACAACTAAGTAGTGAGCGGCTGAATTTTTATTTATAAGAATGCATTAATTTCATATAACAATAAGTCAAAACAAGTGAATTAAGAGAACCTTATTGATTCACATTGCGGGGGAGATATGATTAATATGGATGATATGTTCATATAAAATATAGCTACTATAAAATATGAATAATGAATTGTACTTTTTTTTTGCATACTCCAAAAGATTTTGTTGCTCTTAGTATAATTAGTGACATAAAACAATCAATTAAATGAAAAGATAAAAGTAAAAAAAAAAAAGTCGAATTTACGGTATTTTTTAAAATATATATTTGTAATAAAATTTTAGTATAAATTGAATGATAAATGGGATAAAATATCGAATAAATTTAATTTTATAAAATTTAAAACAAGAATCTGAAAATAATCGAACCAATTAAATGAAACCAGTACAAATATTCGCTCATATATCGTACTACCCATATTTCTCTCTCTCTCGGTTCTTTCTTTCTTTCTTGGTCACCGAGTAAACTAATAAACATAAATTATATCATATAAAAAAAATATAAATAAGATGATGTTCCGGTTACGGTGACCGGTCTTTCCTCACGATGAACCGGTCCACCAAAACCGGGTTATATGGCCCATTTCTTAGTGGGTTTTTTTCCTCACCACACGGAAGCTACTGATTCGTTAGTCTTTGCTGAAACCAGCTCCGTTATGCCGTCGTCTTCATTTGCTTCGCCGGGAAGGGAGGATTTGTCTTTTTTAGAGAGAGAGAGAGAGAGAGAGAGAGAGAGAGAGAGAGAGAGAGAGAGATCTACTGTTGGATGGCTCTAACGACTCGTCA